GATATATGTGTAAATCTAAACCGGAGAGGGGAACGCGCTGTATGCAGTATATATGTGTAAATCTAAACCAGAGAGGGGAATGCGTTCTATGCAGGATATATGCGTAAATCTAAACCAGAGAGGGGAACGTGCTCTATGCAGGATATATGTGTAAATCTAAACCGGAGAGGGGAACGTGCTGTATGCAGGATATAAGTGTAAATCTAAACTGGAGAAAGGGAAACGCACTGTATGCAGGATATATGTGTAAATCTAAACCGGAGAGAGGAACGCGCTGTATGCAGGATATATGTGTAAATCTAAACCGGAGAGGGGAACGTGCTCTATGCAAGATATATGTATAAACCTAAACCGGAGAGGGGAACGCGCTGTATGCAGGATATATGTGTAAATGTAAACCGGAGAGGGGAAAGCGTTCTATGCAGGATATATGTGTAAATCTAAACCGGAGAGGGGAATGTGCTGTACGCAGGATATATGTGTAAATCTAAACCGGAGAGGGGAACGTGCTGTATGCAGGATATATGTGTAAATCTAAACCGGAGAGGGGAACGTGCTGTATGCAGGATATATGTGTAAATATAAACCGGAGAGGGGAACGTGCTGTATGCAGGATATATGTGTAAATCTAAACCAGAGAGGGGAATGCGATGTATGCAGGACATATGTGTAACTCTAAACCAGAGAGGGGAACGTGCTCTATGCAGGATATTTGTGTAAATCTAAACCGGAGAGGGGAACGTGCTGTATGCAGGATATATGTGTAAATATAAACCGGAGAGGGGAACGCGCTCTATGCAGGATATATGTGTAACTCTAAACCGGAGAGGGGAACGCACTGTACGCAAGATATATGGGCCGAATGGTTCTTATCTGCCATCACATTCTATGTTTCTATATGTGTAAATCTAAACTGTATAGGGGAACGTGCTCTATGCAGGATATATGTGTAAATCGAAACCGGAGAGGGGAACGTGCTCTATGCAGGATATATGTGTAAATATAAACCGGAGAGGGGAACGCACTATATGCAGGATATACAGTTGTGCTCAAAAGTTTGCATACCCTTGGAGAATTGGTAATATATGTACCATTTTTAAAGAAATCAGAGTGAGCAGGAAAAACACTCAAAGGTTATATACAATAATTTACTAATCCATACTAGAACATTATTCTAGAAGTTCAAATTAAGAAGAAAATGAAGAAATATAAGAATAAACTATTTTTTAAAAATGAATAAAAGACAAGATCCCAGTCACCCCCTCCTAGGAGGGGGTAAGTAGGAAAGAGTACAGTCTAATGGATTAGTAGCCAAACTAAATAAAACCCAGCAGTTGTTAATATCCAAAAGATTGAGCTACTAAATCCTTAGAGGGACACTTGTACAGGGTATAAAAAGTGTCAGGTAAAATTCTACTCTTGTGGACATACAATTCCAGGGATTGAATGGAATAACCAACTCCTATCAATATAGCCAAACTCAAAGTGTTAGGTCAGAAGTTAAACCACAAGTCAATAGAA